AAATAGGCACTAATACCATAATGGCAGGGGACCTGAACACCCCACTGTCAATACTGGACAAATCATCTAAGCAAGGAATCAGCAAAGAAACACAAGATCTAAACAACAATCTAGACCAACTGGACATGACAGATATCTACAGAACATTCCATTCAAGAACCTCAGAATATTCATTCTTCTCATCAGCACATTGATCACTCTCTGGGATAGATCACATGTTAGGTCCCAAATCAAGTCTCAACAAATTCAAAAAAATTGGAATTATCCCATGTATTTTTTCAGACCACAATGGATTAAAATTAGAAATCAATAACAAACAAAATTCTGGAAACTATACAAACACATGGAAATTAAACAGCATTCTACTTAATGACTTATGGGTCCAAAAGAAATCAAACAGGAAATCAAAAAATTTCCTGAAACTAATGAAAACAATGATACATCATAGCAAATCCTGTGGGATACTGCAAAAGCAGTACTAAGGGGGAAATTTATCACATTAAATGCTTACTTCAGAAGAATGGAAAGATGGCAAGTGAACAACCTAATACTTCACTAGAAAAACAAGAACAATCCAAACCCAAAGTTAGCAGATGGAAAGAAATCATTAAGATCAGAGCAGAACTTAAGGTAGTTGAAACCCAAAAAATGACACAAAAAATTAATCAATCAAAAAGTTGGTTTTTTGAAAAGATAAATAAAATTGACAAACCATTAGCACAGCTAACTAAAAAAAGAAGAGAAATGACCCAAATAACAAAAGTTAGAAATGAAAAAGGTGATAGTACAACTGATACCTCTGAAATACAAGGAATCATTCGAGACTACTATAAACAACTAAATACCAAGAAATTTGAAAATCTGAAAGAAATGGATAAATTTCTGGACACACATAAGCTACCAAAACTGAGTCAAGGAGATGTAGAAAATCTGAACAGATCAATAACAATAAAGGAGATTGAAGCTGTTATCAGAAGGCTCCCAACAAAGAAAAGCCAAGGAGCAGATGGATTCACAGCAGAATTTTACCAAATATTCAATGAGGAATTGACACAAATTCTTTACAAACTATTCCAAAAGTTTGAAACAGAGGCAAATCTCCCAAACTCATTTTATGAAGCAAACATCATCCTGATACTACAACCAGGTAAAGATACAACTAAAAAAGAAAACTACAGGCCGATATCCTTGATGAATATAGATACAAAAATCCTCAATAAAATACTAGCTAACAGAATACAGTAATACATCCATAAAATTATTCACCACAGTCAAGTGTGATTCATACCAAGGATGCAGGGTTGGTTCAACATATGCAAATCAATAAATGTGATACACCATATTAATAAAATCAAAAGCAAGGGCCATATGGTCATCTCTATATATGCTGAAAAAGCATTTGATAAATTCAACATTCATTCATGACAAAGACCCTCTATAAGTTAGGTACAGGTGGAAATTATCTCAATATAGTTAAAGCAGTATATAATAAACCCACTGCCAATAATATCCTGAATGGGGAAAAGATGAAAGCTTTTCTTTAAGAACAGGAACTAGACAAGGATGCCCACTCTCACCACTCCTATTTAACATAGTGTTGGAAGTATTAGCCACAGCAATCAGAGAAGAGAAGGAAATAAAGGGCATCCAGATTGGAAAAGATGAAGTCAAGCTATCCCTGTTTGCAGATGACATGATCCTGTACATCGAACAGCCTAAAGCCTCTCCAAAAAACTCTTGGAGTTGATAAATGATTTCAGTGCAGTAGCAGGATACAAAATCAACAGACAAAAATCAGTAGCATTTCTATTCTCCAATAGTGAGCATGCAGAAAGGGAAATCAAGAAAGCTTGCCAGGCCCACTGATCGGTGGAATAGAATAGAAATCAACCCACACACCTACAGCCATCTGATCTTTGACAAAGGCACCAAGCCTATACACTGGGGAAGAGACTGCCTCTTCAGGAAATCGGGCTGGAATACCTGGATATCAATATGCAGGAGAGGGCCGGTCCCATGGCTTATTCTGGGACATATGGCGCTGGGAGCGCCGAAGCTGCAGATTCAGGTCCTGTATAGGGATGGCCAGTGTGCTCACTGGCTGAGCATAGTGTGGATCACACCATGCCAAGGGTTGTGATCCCCTTGCTGCCAAAAAAAAAAGAAAAAAAAATATGCAGGAGAATGAAACTAGAGCCATACCTTTCACCATATACTAAAGTCAATTCAAAATGGATTAAAGAATTAAGTATACACCGTGAAACAATAAAATCTCTTCAAGAAAACATAGGAGAAATACTTCAGGAAGTAGGAATGGACACATACTTCATGAATACAACCCCTAAAGCACGGGCAACCCGAGGAAAAATAAACATGGGATTATATCAAACTAAAAAGCTTCTGCACAGCAAAAGAAACAATTAACAGAGTTAAAAGACAGCCAGCAGAATGGGAGAAAATTTTTGCACAATATACATCTGACAAAGGGTTAATATCCAGAATATACAAGGAACTGAAACAACTTTACAAGAAAAAAACAAGTAACGCAATTAAAAAGTGGGAAAAGAGCTAAGTAGGCATTTCTCAAAGCAAGATATATGAATGGCCAACAGATGTGAGAAAATGCTCAACATCACTCAGCATTCGGGAAATGCAAATCAAAACCACACTGAGATACCATTTCACCCAGTTAAGATGGCTAATATCCAAAAGACGCTGAACGATAAATACTGGTGAGGTTGCAGAGCAAAAGGAACTCTCATACATTGTTGGTGGGAGTGCAAAATGGTGCCGCCTCTATGGAAGATGGTATGGAGGTTCCTCAAGCAATTGCAGATAGATCTACCATATGACCCAGCTATCCCACTGCTGGGAATATACCCAGAGGACAGGAAATCAACAAGTCAAAGGTATACCTGTTCCCCAGTGTTTATTGCAGCACTCTTTACAATAGCCAAGAGTTGGAACCAGCCCAAATGTCCATCATCAGATGAGTAGATACAGAAAATGTGGTATATTTACACAATGGAATACTACTCAGCTATAAAAAAAGGATGAAATACTGCCATTTGCAGCAACATGGATGGACTTAGAATTATATTAAGTGAAACAAGTCAGGCACAGACAGAGAAATATCACATGTTCTCACTTACTTGTGGGAGCTAAAAATAAATAAATAAATACATAAAAAATACGGGGGGCGGGGGGCAGGGAGGGAAGAAGACACAGCAATTACAATTCCTTCAAGTTGATACGAGAAGTGAACCGAAAGGACGTTGTTGGGAGGGAGGCGGGAGGGAGGTTTTGGTAATGGGCCACAATAATCAAACACAGTGTATATTGACAAAATAAAAGAAAATTTGGAAGAAAAAAACCCGCAATGAGATATATATGTATCATATGCTAAGAAACATTACCTTTTTCCCTTTAAAAAAATAAAATTAATAAATGTTGGCTGTTAGTCTTATTGTTATTTCATTAAAAATAGTATATCTTATCTCTGCCTGCTTTTAATTTTTTTTCTTTGGTTTTATCCATTTTACTCAGATATATAAAGTGCTTAGGTATCTTTTGTTTTATCTTGCTGTTTACAGGAAAAATTGTTGAAATAATTTGAGACCGAGAGAGATGATATATTCCAGACTGGATTTGTGTTTGTTTCTGACCAGGAGGGAGGAACACGAGCAATCTCAGATCACTTTAATTTAGTTATCTGGACTGGCAGATGGGAACTGAGCTTCAGTCATTGTGAGGGCCAGTCTAATGTTGTTTTGTTGGTTTACCTTTACTCCTTTGTGGTCTCATCGCAAAGCATGGATGTTTTACTGTGGTGGTGTACACACATGCCACTCTACCCTCCTCGCCCCCCAACCTCAGTCATTGGCAGACTTTAAACTCAAGTTTTACACCCTTATTGCCACAAAAAACAGCTTTTCTTAGCCTCTTCTTGAAGCAGCAGATCCCCCCAGGGAAAAGCATCCCAATATTAGGTTTACCCCTCTGGGATACTTTCGTCTCTTAGATATTGGCCCCATAAGTTTGCACTGCATTTTTAGCTCTTCAGTACTCTGAAAGAGATGTTTTGAATATGCTGTTCACTTCTAATTACTCTCAGAAAGAGCTTGGTTTGGATTACCTAGTCTGTTATTACTGGAGGTTGCTATTACTGGAGACAGAAGTTTTAACATGCATTTTTTGTTAAATAGTTCTTTCTTTGCTGTTGGGCCCATTTCAGTCTTTTACTCATGGTTCTTATTTATGTCTTGCTTATAAATATTTCTAATAATTGAATGAAGTTGCCAAGATTTATACTTGTAGTCAATCACAATGACTCAGTGGCATTTCAGTCTCAATATCTTCATATTTTGGTTTTAAGTTATTCTCCCAGTTTTAGCATCTCTTTAGTTTCTAAAGGTTTTTTTTTTAAACGAATGACAATCAGATTTTGTGAATAACATGATACTATGTAATTAAAGTTGGTAACAACTGTCTTTTTCATGGGGATGTTTAACTGGTGTATCATTAATTTCTCGTTGCTGTTAAACCTTACATAGTACTTATAAATAAAGATTAATATGTACATGTCCATAGAACTGGGGTAAATTTATCTGATGTAAATTTTCTCATTTCTAGGACACTTTCTTCATGAAAAACAAACTCCAAGGATACAAAGACAAGCTGCCTGGTAGTGGTGATTCTGTGCTGAGTATAAGCACCATTGCTTCAGCCATTGCGGATGCCTCAGTTAGTGCTGATCCTTCTCAGCTTGCTGCCATGATCAAGGCACTTTCAAATAAAACCAGAGATAAGGCTTTTCCGGAAGATGATAAACAGAAGGACTGTTCTAATGTGTCTCATTTCTTACCTAATGATTTAGAAAAAAGTAATGGATCCAGTGCGTTTGATATGGAGAAATACCTTAAAAAAACAGAAGTTAGTAGATGTGAAGGTGGATTGGAAAACTTTTCAAGATGTAGTATGTCTGATATTTTGGATTCATCTTTGCCAAAAGAACAAATTAAAGACATCCATACAATGGACTTAGGTGCTACTGATGTAAGTGTAAGGGAACCAAAAGAAAACATAGCAGCTATTTTTTGTGGTGAAAATGGAGAGAGTGAGAACCAGGAATCGTTTAGAACTGTAAACTCTTCAAGTTCAGTGCTTACAAATATGAGAGACAATGAGAGTGCAGCAGTTGATTTGAAAACAAATTCCATTGACAACAAATTACCAGATATTGGTAACAGTGAAAAAGCTACCTCACTTTCCACTGCCACAGCTAATACGTATTCATCAGTAAGGAACCCCAGAACAACATCCCTTTGGCTGTCAGAAGAGTGTGAAGAAATACAAGATGATAGAGAGAATCAGAACAGAAATGAGTATGTTAGTGAAACAAGCGACACTGAAAAGCATGTGACTTTTGAAAAACATTGTGTAGTCTCACCTAAAAATACTGGTAAGTGTCTGAGTAATTGATCACATTCACAAAATTATGCAGAACTTTTTTCTGTTCTCATTAGAAAATACACCTTTCTGATAGATATGAAAAATGCCTCTGCTGAGCATGGTGGACATGGCAAAGAGGAGGACCATGAAAGATTTAGACCTTCCACTTCACCACTTAGTCACTCTTCTCCCAGTGACATTTCTGGAACAAGTTTATCAGGGTAGGTACTTACCTTTTTTTTAAACAACAAAGATGTGCTCAGTATAGGAAAATTGGAAAAAGTGTAAAGAAGGAAAATTACTCATCTTTAGGTTCATCTCTCAAAGGTAACCATTGTAAATATTTTGTGAATTTCTTTCCAGCATTTTTTTTGCACTGTGCTTTTTTCACTTATTGTAATATAATCATTCTATCTATTTGAAAGAAAATTAGTGATGTTAGAGACTCCATAATAGGTCTGTCGTGGTTTATTTAATACTTCTGGTGAATACATACTTGCTTATCTTATTATGTTTGGCTATATTGATGATATTGAGATGAATAACCATGCAGATTTAAATTTTAATGCTTTCTTTTATGGCTTTATAAGAGATTTTGTTTATATGTTTCCCTTTTGAAAGGTTCTAATAATTGGCAAATTTTGCCTAAGAAATGAAATTATCAAAACTGTTAAATATAGTTTTATTTCATTTCAAAATATTGGATTGCAAAGTTATCTGTTAACTCTTTACCAAGCTGCCATTGACATTTTGCATCTTCACCTGAAATGTGATACAGGTCAGCTGGAGCTATACATCAGTGGAGAGCTTAGTTCTTTTGTGTTTAAATGACCCCTTGTGGATGCCTCATTTTGAAATACTTTTTCATGTATACAGCCACTTCTTCTTTAACAGTTAAATTCATATTTTGAAAGACATTAGAAGTCACCCAGCCAAAGTAAATTTGAAGGTCATCTGGCTGTGACATGTTGTGGTGTGTTTAAAATCTTTGGCTTTTCTTTTCTTTTTTTTTTTTTTCTTTTTATCTTTTTTACTGACTGGTAACGGGATCGCAACCCTCGGTGTTGTGCCCGTACCGGGGACCGGCAATGGGATCGCAACCCTCGGTGT